ATAAGGCCATGAAGTACATATGGAGATCTCTTTTTGGACTGTTCTCGTTATAGTCCATGAATTTTCTTTGAGAAGCTTGCATATTAGGTGGTAGTATATCCGTTCCGGAGCCCCATAATTGAAAACAATATTTAAATCAATTGGCGAATTCCCCTATTATTAGTATTTTAATTTGTAGAAACCATGTATGAGAATTCATATCAATTTGAAAGGCAAACACCTCATGCCATGCTTTGATATATTCAAAATATTGGTAGTATTTCTTATTGAAACCTTCAGTTTGTAATTTCTTGGGTTTCAGAGGGTCAGAACCCCATTCTTTATATGAAATTATTTTTTGTATTTGGAATTTAGAATACACAATCGTATTAGTATTCTTTTTATAGAAATGGACCAGAGTTATTGATCATGTTTTAATAAGAATGGTTTCATACCATTCTCTATTTTTTTCTCCATTATTAGGATGTAGATGATTTCTCAAATATATTGCAGCTATTTCACCAGAATCTTTATGCTTGTTGTCATCTTCTATTATGATAATAGTTATGAAGGAAATTTCTATAAATTTGCTTTTTTCGCCAGTCGTATTTACGGCTATCGGTATTGGTTCAAGAGAAAATGTTATTTTTTGAGCTTGTTTTTTGGTTAATTGTCTTGGGGTTATTGGTGATGATGATGATGCCAAGGCTTTACTTAGAACAGGGACTATCTCCATAATTCCTTTTTTTTATAGACTCCTCTTGCCCTCGCTGCAAAAATTCTCGGGTCAAAAGTCAGGAAGGTAATTAGTAGTACCTTTGATATGTTCAATGTCAAATTCAAAGGAGGAGAGAATACATTGCCATCGGGCAAATATATGTTTATATCCCTTGCAGCTTTACAGTCGGTGGAAATTAAGAATTTTTGATTGAGTAGATCACTTTGAAATTTCGTCACACAGTGGACAATGACTATGATTTCCTTTTTAACAGTAGAATAATTTTGTTGGGTAGGATTCTAAGCTTTAGAAGTAAAACGGACCAACTGCTCTTTATTTGAAATTTGTTGTTTTTCCCAATCCTTTTTCTGAAGCATCACATTCTATAATTTTAAAAGCAGTAAGATCGGAGAGTGTAAGGCAGGGTAATTCTTTTGCCTTTATTTTTATTTTTCTAACGGCAGAAGTGTGTATATCTGTCCAATCAGGAGGATTCTTTTTTAACCTTTGGAATAATGGCTTAGCATCAATGGCCAAATCTTTATAGAAATCAACAATATACTTGAGACAACCATGAAATCTTTGGAGTTCAGTTTTATCCTTGATTATATCAGAGAATTTATTAGCAAAATCAATGGCTCTATCAATGGGGATTATACTTCCTTGGAAAATGTTGTCCCAGAAATCTGACTTTTGTTTGGCAAAGGCTAGTCGTTTTTGCAGAAACTACTAAGCTAGCCATCTAAATTGCTTTAATAAAAACATTTAGGTGTTTAAAATGTTGTTCTAGATTTTCAGAAAAAACTAGGACATCATCAATATATACAATCATGAATTTAGTATAGGAATTAAAAATATCATTCATAATATTTTGAAACTCTGAAGGGGCATTTTTTAGACCAAAGGGCATGACATTCCACTCATATTGGCCAAAGGGAACATTAGAAGCAGTTTTATAAAGATCATTTTCAGCAATCAGGACTTGCCAATATCTTGACTTTAGATCGAATTTTGAGAAAATACAAGCATTAACAAGTCTATCGAAAAGATCTCTCTTATTAGAAATGGGATACCTTATCCATCTTAAGACTTTATTGAGGGGCTTATAATTTATAACCAATCTAGGTGCACCCCGTTTTATTTCAGAGGCGTTTTCAACATAAAAGGGATATTAGGAAAAATTCTTCTCCTTGGAATTGTTCAGCATTTTATGTTGAAAAAAGCCTCTGAAACAGAACGGGG